GCTTTGAGCAGGGGGTTGGACTAGAACCTAGATGACCTCCTGAGGTCTCTTCCAACCCTAATCTTCTATGATTCTATTAGTCTAATCCCCACCCTGTCACCTGCTGCTAATGAGCGTCAAAGTGCACCATATCCTGATGTTCTCAGCTGCTATTTCAGGCTAAATTCTCATTGAAGCCAGTGATAGGTTTCCCTGTGCATCGACTGAATAAGGACTTCAAGATTGGACCCAAAACACAGAGGAGGAATTTTTCAAAGGCAGAAATGGCAGCTGGGCATCCAACTGCTATTTATGCCTCTGAAAAGTTCCCCCAATGGCTTCTGTGACACCAATTTGTAAATAATTTCTCCGCATGTTCCTTTCCAAAGCCATAATGTTACCGACAGGGTAATAGGGTTATAAGAAAAAATAAGCATGGACTTCTCAAGAAAACATCATGCCAAACCCACCTCATTTCCTTCTTTGACAACTAGCCTAGTGGATAGGGGGAAGGGAGCAGGTGTGATATAGTTTGGTTTTGACACAGTCCTATATGACATTCCCATAAGCAAAGTAAAGACAGGTGTTCTAAATTAAATTCCTATAAGCGGATGCACAAATGATTGCAAGATTGTTATCAATGGTTCAGTATCAAACTGGGAAGGTGATTCCTGTGGGGTCCTGCAGAGGCCAGTACTGGGTCCAGTAGTGTCCAATATTTTAATTAATAATTTGGGTAATGGAGTGGAGAGTATGCTTATTACATTTGCAGATGATGCCAAGCTGGGAGTTGTTGCAAGCACTTTGGAGGGCAGGATTAGAATTCAAAATGACTTTGACAAATTCGAGAATTGGTCTGAAATCCACCAAGTGAAATTCAAGGACGTTAAGTGCAAAGTACTACAGTTCGGAAGGAAAAATCAAATGCACAGCTACAAAATAGGGAACAACTAGTTAGGTGGAAGCACTGCTGAAAAGGAGCTGAGGGTTATAGTTGATCACACATTGAATATGAGTCAACAATGTGATGCGGTTTAAAAAACGGCTAATATCATTCTCGAGTGTAGTAACAGGATGTATTGAATGTAAGACAGAGGAGGAAATTGTCCTGTTCTTTTTGGCACTGGTGAGCAGAGGTGGCAGGTTTGTATAATTTTTGGTTGTATCCAGAACAGGTCCCACCTCCCCACACCTGCCTTGTAAGCCGATATATATTTTTAAAAAGAATTTAAAAATGTGAGGGCTCTGGGGTGGGGCTGGGGATGAGGGGTTTGGGGTGGTGGGGGGGCTCAGGCAGAGGGTTGGGGTGAGGGGTGAGGGCTGTGGGGTGGGGCTGCGGAAGAGGGGTTTGGAGTGTGGGAGGGGCTCAGGCAGAGGGTTGGGGTGAGGGGTGAGGGCTGTGGGGTGGGGCTGCGGAAGAGGGGTTTGGAGTGTGGGAGGGGCTCAGGCAGAGGGTTGGGGTGAGGGGTGAGGGCTCTGGCTGGGGGTGCGGGCTCTGAGGTGGGACAGGGCCGGGAACGAGGGGTCTGGGGTGTGGGAGGGGCTCAGGCAGAGAGTTGGGGTGAGGGGTGAGGGCTCTGACTGGGGGTGTGGGCTCTGGGGTGGGGCAGGGCCAGGGATGAGGAGTTTGGGGTGTCGGCAGGCTGCCCCGGTGCTGGGGCCAGAGAGGAGGACTTCCCCCTGCCCTCTCCCTGCCATCAACAGAGACCTCTGAGGGAGGGGTCCCCCTTCCCCCCACCCGGCAGCACACTCCCCTGCTGCTTCCCCTCACTGTAGCCTCACTGTGGGTGGTGGATGTGGCAGCCCCTTGCCCAGCATGGGGCAGGAGCGGTGACTGCGGGCGGGGGGGTCCCCTTGTGCTGGCAGAGGGTCCCGCTGGAAAAGGGAAGGGTCCGAGGAGGAAGGGCAGGGGCAGGGGCAGGGGCAGCCTGCCCTGGCACTAGTGGGGATGGGGGGCACTAGGAGCCTACACTGGCAGTTGATGCCGAGCTGCAGCGGAGAGGCGGGGAGGCTCCAGGACTCAGGGGAGGTGCGCGGGGGAAGCAAGTGGGGGCTGGAGGACACTCGGGCGCGGCGCACTGGGCTGGAGGAGAGACCCGGCCCCAAACACTGGTGGAGCCGGGACCCCGGGCCCTAATTATTGCTGGAGCCCGGGCACCACAGGCCCATATAACTCACCACCCCTGCTCGTGAGACCTCAGCTGGAGTACTGTGTCCAGTTCTGGGCACCAAAGGAGGTGGACAAATTGGAGAGCAACAAAAATGATAAAAGGTTTGGAATACCTGAACTGTGAGGCTTCTAAGGGAGGTTGTGGAATCCCAGTCATTGGAGGTTTTTAAGAACAAGTTGGACAATCCCCTGTCAGGGATGGTCTAGGTTTACTTCGTCCTGCCTCAGTAGTGGGTGGACTTGATAACCTCTTGAGCTCTCATCCAGCCCAACATTTCTATGATTCTATGTCACTGGCTAAGGGAATGAGCATGCCTGAGTGACATAAGTTACACTGACCTAACTGCTAGTGTGGACAGCGCTATGTCGCTCACCCACCCACACAGCTACAACCACTCATTGTGGGTGGTTTAATTCTGTCAAGGGGAGAGCTCTATCCGGTCGGCAGACAGCAGCTACAGGAGAGATCTTACAGAGGTGCAGCGGCATCGGTAGAGCTGTGCCACTGTAAGCACACTAGGGCAGACGTGGCCGTAGTCAATGTGTGCCCGGCTCACGTTCTATCATTCTAGTTTTATATCAAAATGTCACACGGCACCAAGTCAAATGCCAGTACTAATAAGTCCATTACAGAGGAAAAACAGAAACAACGGGCTCATGAAAAATGTCTAAAAATAGAAAACGTAATGAAGAGGGAGGAATTATTTCAGGAGTCAGTGACTGAAACTACAGAACAAAGAACCTAAGCAATGCAAGAGGAAAAACCAATTGCCACCAATCAGATAATGGAACAATTTGCCAGGGGAAGAAGCTTTCTGTGCTCAGCTACTGGAGATGCTGAAGAACTCGTGAGATACAACAAATGCCTCTGGACCTGTGGAATCTGACCTTGCAAAGAGCAGAGCTCGGCCAAGGCTTTCAAACCCCGACCCAATGCCCAATGCACTCAGTGGAAAGACTCCCGCTGACATCGCTGGGCTTTGAATCAAGCCGTTACTGCCCACGCCAGCTCTGTCTGTGTTCTCCACACAGCCACTGCTCTCCTTCAACAGCCCAGTACTTGGCACTTAAACACCACATTGTGTCTTCAAGGCAGGTTAGTGAGTAGCCAGCTAAAGCAAAGGGATTTCCTCAGGAGAGGCTCCTTGCATGGCAAAAGGAATATTCCTGTTGCTCTGGGGAGAAAGCTACCTGCAATAACCCCATTTGCCTGATGAAGGGTGTCTACTGTCCAGCCACAAACTCCAGCAGATTTCTCACGCTCTGGGCTGGATTTGATCACACACAGACTGGGACTGGGAAAATAACACACTCTCTGTGTCCACTTGGTTGACATCACGATGGGCTTAGATACTGTGGCGTGGGATCCGGATTGAGTATCTAGAGGGGGCAGCTAAGATCATCTTAAGAGCATCGAGAAACCAACTAGTTGTTTCTCACTATGGATCCCACAGAGCCAGAAACCCAGATGGCTGGAGCTGGTCAGGTTCCTTGGGCTCAGGCTGTAGTTTATCCTGGCACCTGGTGCAGGTCTTGGGGTGACTTATTTATGTACGTTAATGTGAGTAAACAGTAAGAGAGGGGGTTAATACATTTGT